CTGTTGACGTTGTTAAGATGTTGAGTGCGAAAGTTGGCTAGTTTTGGTATCAAATGTTGCTTGGTTCCTTGTGCGCACGTGGCTCGGACAGTGGGTGAAATTCTCAAGCGCGCTTCCTGAGATCATCGCCAACGGTTCATTTACTGGGTTCTTGGAGACTAGGGCGCGAGTTCTATCGATTGTAGCAATGTGGTAGAGCTTGTCAATGCTGCTACAGAATCGTGTAGTGGGTGCTACTAGAGCTCACGAGACGTTACGAAGAAAATAGGCGGATTTTGCAACTCCAGGGTCTGTACCAGGGCTGAAGTCTTTTAGCGCGTTGCACAGCCCTGAGCCTGGCAAAAAATGCAATTGGGATTTTGCTCCATCAGGGATACTGAAGATTTTACGGAATAGGGTACTCTCTAACCACGTATATCACAACCCAATGGGATCAAACTTTCCCTGGTGAGTGGTTCCCCGAGTGAATCAGTACGCAGAATCGATTCCTGTTTTCAGAATGAAAATTAGATAAAAACTCGTGGAGATAGATGGGTGTTGAAAAGTGGTGGTTTCCAGGGGAGCAGCCCTCAATCGTCAGCGCCAGGGGAGAAATTTCTTCCGATTGATTTTCTAGCGTGCGGCGCGGTCATCCCTGATGGCTCCCTGGGAGCTGGCGACTGCAAAATCCGCCTGATAAATTAATAAAAAGGGACAAGCGAAATCGCCTTGCGCGTTTCGCTCGGCCCATGTGGGAAGAATTCCTAGCGCTGCACTGTGCGGGGTAAAAAAACATGCCAAAAAAAAATTGGAATCGGTTGCGACACTAGTCTCATTTGCGACACCCCAACCAGGTTGTCACCACTCTTATTCTGACTCCCAGCGAAGGCGGAGGTAACTGAGCCTCGTAGCCAAATACTATACAAAAATTTTTTACCCCGCAGCAAAAGTGAGCGACTGCACCTCTCAGCCAAATACTACGAACAGCTTCGTGTAAATAGCTATTATGACCACCTCCGAACCCTCAGCTGGCATCCCGGCACGCACTATCTCGCTGCCGGGCTTCGGCAAACCTCTCAACTGCACCCCTCGCGGTGAAAAGCGCCGGTCTCTGCTTTTCCCGAACGCGCTGGATCCGGATGATATAGAGGATGGATGTATTACGCGGTCGCTGACAACGTTGCGCGAGTTTGTGATGATGCGCTTCATGAATGCTGTCACGGATAAGGACAGGTGGGAGGAGAAGGTGTTTGACGACGGTATCGCGGCGCACTGGACTGCCGAAGCTCTCGCCATCCCCTCCGCTGAACTTGCGCCGTCGATGACTCCCGCAATGGCCGCGTACTGCATCGCCGAGCTACGGCACAAGGCGTCCCTCTACCGCACCACGCGTGTGGTCAGCGTGTACGATGCCGATGTCGTCAAGTCGGACTGTGCCGTCCCGCCCCTGCTGGCAGCGGAGCTTAAAGCTGCGCTGAATGCCCTTGAGGCCGCGGTGCCACCCGCGAAGCGTGACTGGCACCCGGGCTCGAATGAGATGGTGCTGGACCTGGTCCACCCGTCGCTGTATCCCCTCGTGTACGGGCATTCGAGGATCTTGCCAGATGGCACGCTCGGGATCGAGGATGCGCTGCGCAGGACAGGGGAGGGTGTCATTGTGCCGGTGCCGGCGGAGCAGGAGACGATGTTACCCCCACGGCCGGATAGTTATACGCTATATAGGAGGCGTGAGAAAGTGTTCAGTCAGAAATTCCAGTGGCTTCCGTGCGATGTCGCGCTCATCGATGAAGGAGGCGAGAGGAGTGCAAGGATAGCAAGCTACGTTCCCAACCTCCATCCAACCATTCACACGTCGCTGTACCCTCTGCTCTCAAAGCTGATAACCTACACCATCCCCTTGTGGAATCTCACCCTGACGGGCTACACCGATCGCATGAGCCCGCGAATCACGTACACCAGTTTCCCACACACTCCGATACTTTGGGACCCCCAGATGAACCTCAGCAGCGCGACGACGAAGACGGAGAAGAGTTCCACGAGCGCTGGCGCTGGTGGAACAACCACATTGTGGAGGTGGAACAGCCTGACGTAGAAAGCGAGTTTCAGCCGCCGAACGAAGAAAGACCTGACTATTTGCGGCAGAGGGTGGATTTGGCGAATCAGTATGAGGGCTTGCAGGTGATTGTGAAGGTCGCGAGCATTGTGTTGACGCCGGAGAAGCCGGAATACAAGGGTGGAACATGGCATGTCGAGGGCATGTTGAACGAGCATATCTGTGCCAGTGCAATCTATTACTACGATTTTGAAAACATCGCTGAGAGCCGTCTCTCATTCCGGCAACAGTCCAGCTCGCATGACGCCTCCGACGTCGACTATGCCCAAAACGAGCACATCTGGCTGTGGCAAGTTTTCGGGTGCGAGAACGACCAGCCCACGGTCCAATACATCGGGGACGTCACTGCCCGCGAGGGACGGCTCGTGACCTTCCCTAACACGCTGCAGCACAAGGTTGAACCTTTCCGGCTGGCCGACCCGACCAAACCGGGGCACCGGAAAATCGTTGCGCTCTTCCTCGTTGACCCCTATATCCGCATTATTTCCACCGCCAACGTCCCGCCGCAGCGCCGAGACTGGTGGGCCCAGCAGGTGATAACGGCCGAATCACCCCTGACGAGGTTGCCCGCTGAGCTCCAGTTGGAGATTATCAAGAATGTGGACGGGTTTCCGATGTCGCAGGAGCTGGCAGAGAGGTATCGTGAGGAGCTGATGGAAGAGCGCAAAGCGGACGCTGTGATGCAAACAGAGAACTTTATGGAACTGACGTTCTCGCTATGTGAGCATTGAGTTTTATGCGGTTGCTGGGTCATTGGGGCGCAGGTTCTACGTAATACAACACATGGAGAGACTACAATAAAAAGGTAACCGGAAGCATAGTACGTACTTGTCGCATGATCGTGTCGACAGTCAACCAGTGAAGGTGAGGAAGAGTTTGGAGAGTACACGCAAGCAGAAAGTTGGCATGAGCGCCACCTAAAGAGCATATCATAGATATATATATATATATAAATTCTGTATCACAGTTATAACAATTAACCATCTCGTCTCCCCTTCTCTTTCACACTCGCATCAGTTGCACGTTCGTTCCGCCAGCTTATGACCACTCTGGTCACATTGTGCAGTACATGTACTACGGTATCCCTCGTGCTATACCGGAGTATTACAATCCATCCTATTCCTACCTACGACGGCGCCTCACAACTAGTAAGGAAGAGGTGGGAATCGAGAATCGGCAGGGGCGACTGGGACGTGGCAGTGATGTGGGTAAAGGCTCACAGGGGCGTTAACGGCAACACAGAAGCAGACAGAGCGGCGAAGATCGGGACATACCTATAATACCAGGACGAAGTGGCCACCAAAGCAGGATAAGACAGACGGCATGCGCCAACAGAGCAAGCGAAAGAAACCGACTGGATATGACATACAGACCACTACAACGACTGGGCCACAGAGTCGCAACCTTCGCCGGGATCCTCGGTGGAAAAGGCCTACGCCACTGGAAGCACAAAATCGGTACCACTGACAGCCCAGAGTGCCACTGGTGCGGCGAAGATATCGAGACCACTCGACATATATTGACACAGTGCAGAGCCTAGAGACAGAAATGTCCTGAAGGCGAAGACAGCCTCTGCCGCCCCAGAAACGACGAAGATGGTAACGACGGAGACACTTTGTTGGATTGGGCGAGGCAATAGACGAACCCTTAACTTCCCTTTTCCTACACTCTTCAGCTTTTCAGAACATCTCAGTTATCTTTTGACATTTCAAGTTATCTTTTGACATTTCAAGTTATCTTTTGACATTTTCAGTTATCTCCTTACATGTAACTAAACATCGCCATAGCCCATGGGGCGGCACGCGATTAATGATATTAAAAAAAAAAAAATCATCACGTTAATGTCTCTGGTTCCCGTGCCCGCTTTCCCCACATCGGTTAATACCTACACTCCTCACTATCTTCCATTACTATTTGCCAACGTTGATAAAAAGAAGTTCAAATTACTTGCAGACAAGCCTATCTAGATGCTCCACCTATTCTCCCCCTCGTGCCTTCTTCAGGGTGCCAGCAATGGCCAAGCATGCGCACCGCAACGCGTTCATCACCTCGATGCCCCGATGTGGCTGGTGCCCGTGCCCAGTTTCCCGCACATCGTTTGAGTTCAGAATTTCAAATACCTACATTTCCCACTAGACTGTCCTCAATAACTACTTACAAACATCAATAAAAAATGTTTTTCGCAGGCCTTGCGAGGCCTACTAGATGCTGCAGGGAGGGGCCACGTAACTTGAAGGGAATTATGGGCACATTACCAGGCCCTCCAGAGGATGTGGTCGTAACAACACTCATCAAAGAAGCCTACACAAACTCAAAGCTGAGGCTCGTCTGCAGACTGTGAACCTGAAATGAAGTTTTGGAAGACAGCTCAGTCGAAATCTGCGCATCCCATCGGGGTTGGGCCTTGAGTGGATGGAATTCTCGTGCATGTCATACTGTTACCAGTAACCTCTAGTCTCGGAGCCACTATTCATACTTTCGACAACGTTATGTACTTGCTATATGTGTGGGACCAGCCATGTTAGGTGCACTTTAAATCGCTTAACTGCGTTTTGTATCGCTGATATACCGTGTACTACTTGTACTTAGCAGAGGTGCTCGCAGAGATGTATAAGATATGTGTTATAAATTAATCACGAGGTGATGAAATTTCAGCTACAGCCCAGGTCAATAACGTCGATATTGAAAGAGACAATACTCCTACCGGCAAAAGTAAATACAGGGGACGTGCTGTGACCATTGTCTCGGTTTCATTTTCAATAATCTCCTTTATATGTAATCTCGTCATAGTCCCCGAGGCGAAATACAATACCTTTTTTTTTAAAAAAAAAAAAACATACATAGATAAATTTGTGCAACTTGCCAAGGTTTGACAGAATCAGCAACAGTGCATATCTACATGCATATTGACGTCGTGCCCGAGTGGTTAAGGGGAGTGATTAGAATCACCATCTCTAATGCGATGATTGAAATATCACTTACGCTCTGCGTGCGCAAGTTCGAGTCTTGTCGACGTCGCTATTTCTTTTTTCTATTTTCGTATTACTGCGAATTGGTTTTGTTTATTGTTCTTGTCCGCTCGGGAATTCAGTCCTTCTTCGACGCGTCCCATCGTGAATTTTATGTGGTTCCTGAGAGGTCCGGGTCGCATGGGTGCATGAAAAAAAGTTTCGTACTTAGTCGTCAAAATTGCCACTGAATATTTTGTCTGACCCGGCGATGTCTGTGCCCAAACTCTTCTACTCCCAGAAATGTCTATAAATTGATTGTCATGCAAATGCCTGTCGAAATGCTTCAATTCAGCCATCTCGTCAGTGTTCAGTATAGAACTTGAACTTGTTTATTTTATATCATTGCTCATGCCACGAAAAAGGTTCGTTTGCAATAAAAATGGGAAGTCCGGCATATATTCAATTCCTGAGCGGTGAAAATACTGATTCCCGAGTGGATCGACTTCCTCAGCGGCCCGGGACTACATAGAGTTCTCGGGGCTGACCGGTCCCCTTCGGAGCGGACTGAATTCCTAAAGCCAGCCAGAACATTACGGCCGCGAAGTCCGAAAATAATAGTCTTGGCACAGGAACACCAGGATATATACCAACGTCTGCACCGTGCAGCAGGAGCCACTTTACTGTACCGAGTTCGCGCGGTTGCACAGACGCCGAGTGCTTTGGTTTGATTCGTGTGAGTCGATGACCAAGTTCTGGTTAGGACTTCCATGGCTGCGGTGTTGCCGGCTTTGATGGCCACATGAGAGGCGTCACTCTCGATGTGTCCAAGAACTGCAGGTCGACATCAGGGGCCATCTTGAGGAGCAGCTTCAGGCACACGAGGTAGTCACCGCGCGGGCTGTAGGTGGTGCTGAGACGGGTAATGAGCGGGCAACCCGCTCCAGCACCGCTGCGCTGGCCCCGCCTCCCCGCGCTGCCTGCACGTCACGACCTCCGGCAGCAGCTCCACCAGCGTCTCAAGGCAATCCATCCGGCGCCGAGCCGCGCCTCCCGCACCCGCCGCCTCTGCTCTCCGCTCGCGTCGCTGGCCTCCCTCCGCACCGCGGCTGTCCCTGTGCATCCAGACAGCCCGCACCGCGTCGTCATCTCACAGAGTATCCCCCGCAGCCTGCCGGGCCCTGACGTACTCCAGGATCATCCGACCACAGTCCTGTTCCTCTTCCAAAATCCCCTCGCAACCGTTACCCTCCCCTTCATCTCCTCCCTCAAAACACCTCCATAAGCGCCTCATCTCCCCTCCATGCCGCCCACGCCAGTGCCGTGCGACTGACATCCAGCCTTTCCAGAATCGTCCTCTCCCACAACCCTCCGCTTCCCTCCGTGCCCAACCCCAATCCCAAAAATCTCAACGCATACAGCGCATGCGCGAATCTCCTTCCGCTGATTGCGATCGCTCATGCGGTCGCCTGTGACATACAGACGTAACCCCCCCGTCCCTCGTCCCGAACGGAAGGAACAGAGGGGGAATTGAGACGTCTTGTTAGCCACTACGTTTTGTAGCACGAAGGTGAAGAGACAGAGAGAAGGAGGTGTGTGCGTGTATGTGGAGGTGAAGGGGGGAGCGGATGGAGATAGGGGAATAATTCGCGGGAACAACCAACAGGTCAGATTCCATCCTTTTTCTTTGTTCCCACTTCACTCCTAATGCAATTACTTATCTTTCGTAGCCTCAATTAGCTATTTCTCCAAATCCTCAAATCAAAATAAATAAATAACTCTCCGGTAACCCCTTACCTGTACGCCCCCCTTTCGTTCCAAAAAAACGCCTACACACAAAAAATAACAAAATCCCTTCACTTATCAATAAGTTCACTGCTAAACTTCTTTATTGCATAGATTTCTCAGTTAGAAAAAATAATTATCGTATCGTTTCCTTCGTCGCACGTTGTGAATGCTTGGATTAAGACTTGTTCCCCTCCTACATATCATACGGCGCTGTCCATGGCTCACGCCTATCTTGATTCCTGACATGCTTTAGATTGGTCATTGTCTACTACGCGAAGTGGCAAACACATAAGGATCAAAGGAGCATAAAAGGAAAAACGCTAATCAGAACGGCAAAAATTAATGCTTGAAGGCCCTAACCCGGATTTGAACCGGGGACCTCTCCCAGTCGCGCTTCTGTGAGGCAGGGGACAACCCGAAGGGAGAATCATACCACTAGACCATCAGGGCAGCTATTGCTTGCAATAATGTTGCACTTATCCACATGAATAGGTTTTCAAAGAACCCGGTTGCTTTCTAGACTCCTATCCCGCACATGTCACTGATGGCAATGCATATGTCTGAAACTTCAAGCTTAAGCGCGAATTGAAATGGCAGCCGCGGCCAGTGTTACAGCAGTTGCTGCAGCATAATTTTTGCAACCAGTTACGCAAATTCTGCTATGGTGCCGGAAGTAAAAAAGCGGGACATGTTGTAACATCGCCAGCTCTCATTAGTAAGCAGCAACATATGTGTCAGTTTGCTTGGTAGTCATTCACACAGCTTTCCCACGCTCGCAATCTACGGCTCCTCGCACTCGCACCACTCAACTGATCTTGTAGTTCCTTTTCGGAACAAATAGCAAGGTCTTTCCTGAGTCTTATATTAAAAGGAACAAAGCTAATAGATGTGACAATATTATAAAAAGCCTTTAAAAATCATGTATATAAGAGCCACAGAGGGGAGCCGCTTTGATGACTAATCCATTTATATGAGGCTTGGCATGTAACATCAGGTAACAAACCAAAAAAACTTTGAACCTTATCAGTTTTACAATGAATAAAGATTTCGCCATGAGAAAATTATAGAGTGATAGAGGGTCTCAAATACTATAGATTTTTGATACTTCTATACTTCTACCCTGATTCATGTCATGTTGTGGTTGTTGATAGGTTTTGCGTTGGGTTGGTTGTATCGCAATTTCCATGTCCACTTTTAACTTCCGGTACCATATATAGGCTTGGAGTTGGTGGAACTGCCAAGGCTAGTAGCTTGACAATCTGATTATTCCTAAGCACCGCCTGTTGGATCTAATCAGGCGTACATCTTCACCCTGCATGTGATTTTGTCGCTACTATTAAATTGTGTACACTACATCTGCAAGAAAAGCATTAGAAAAGTGCAGACACTCACATGCAACAGAATCACTCAGTGAGAATGTATGAGCGACATAGTTAGGTGATCTGAAGTGATTATGGAATCATTCACAAAATTCATATTTCCCATGGAAACCATTCGTATGAGAATATACCCCAAAAGTAGATAGTTGTATGCCAACTCTATGAATGAACAAATCAAGGCAAATTAAATGCAGCACCTTACTATATTTCTATTCAGGTGATGCACGACATAATATCGTAGCTGTTGTAATTAACGTCGAAGATAATAGCTATATTCTATTCTTATGAACGTTTTGTATGGGGATCCCATTCAAATACTCGCTCGTTTAGAAAGTACAGTATTGGAACGGCTGACTAAATTCGTTCGCACCCACAATTTTTGAGAAACCAAAATGCCAGATATCAAGAATTACCATTTGTATGTTTCCTCCGCAAAGCGCATTAACAATTGGTGTTGTTGATATTGAGGTGTTGAGTGTGAGTGTTGCACAGTTTTGGTGGTGTGCCCGGAATGCTAGGGTGTCGGGGAGGTGGTGAATCACATAGTAAGTGTTTTGTATGTAGTTCAAATACATCTTCATGTAATGCATCTAATTTTTTTTTTTTTTTTTTTTTTTTTTTTTTCCACATAATTATGAGAATAAAACAAATATATAAGAATTAGTCTAAAACATTTTGAGGAAGATCAATTAAACAATAGACAGAAAAAACCTCATCACTCGTATTCCGCGCCGGGGGCTATGACGAGAGAGTTACATTGGAGATAAGAAAGTAAGATAAAAGCGGAATAAAACCAAATAACGAGTAACAGTACAACGATGTGAACATGTACACCTCTCTAGGTCTCACCTTTCTGCCCATCTCATCCGCTCCATGAGCGGGCCCTGTTCATCCTCCCTGCCATCTGGTGGCAACCTGATTGCGTCCCGCCCCCCTGGCCATCTCCTCCTCCACACCTCGCACCTCTCTGTGTTCCGTCGTCTCCTGCTCCATCCCCCATCATCGGCATTCCTGGCTGTCCTCCTGGCGTTGTGCTTTTTTTTTTTTTTCTTCTTCCGCAACTACCAGGTCTAATATTAGTGAATGAAGAAGTACTTGCTGAATTTTGCATTTTGCATTTTTTTGTTTTACTGGTATGATACTTTGCGGAAATAAATTATATCAATAATCTACCAATCCATATAGAACAAGAATATATTTACTTCCATGCATGGACAAGCAAGCGAGAGAAAATGAGAGCAAGGCTGGTGTAAGCTTGACCTAATTTATTGGCTTACCACTTGTTTCATATATATCCAATTATTATGAAACATTTCAGATCTCTTGAATACATACTATAGAAGGTATATGCACTTGCTCTAGGTCCTAAATAGCCATCTTGCTATTTTACACCTGCATAGGGTTCAGATGCCTAATTGGGCAACTACCACCATAGCGTGTCATTCAAAATTTGCAATTGGCTAACGGAGGTGCGGAAGTTACTTTCCTATACCTCACCAAGCTGTATGTCCTCTATGAAGATTTGGCCTTACAGGAGGCTATTGTTTTAATTCCGGAAGTGCGCCGGATCCCGGTCAGTGACGTTATTTAATTCTTGAGCTATGAGAATAGTGATTCCCGAGCGGACGACCTGAATTCCCGAGCGACCGAGCCACCTGGACCTCTGAGGAATTACAAACCATTCACGAGGGGGCAAGAACACCTGCAATAGCCATGTTTTCACTCCCTAGCTAATATACAACACTACCAGTGTGAGATAATGAGATAAATTGCCGGCGGGCTTAGTAATTTCTTGGCTTAGTCATCGGCTGGTTTTTTTTTATATATCACGTGACATCCTGCCGGTGGTAATGGGCGGAGTCAGAGAAGTTCGGGTGCGGGGGGGTACAGACTGGGGAGCATTTAGCTTTCCGGTGCTGTCAGGAGAGATTTCGTCTAGAAGGGTTTAGAGACTTGGGAGACATGGAAAAGAACTGGAAACGAACGGCAGAGAATCGGGAGGAGTGGGATGAACTGTAGAGGTTCTTTTCCGGGGATTAAGTTTTAGTGGTCGGGGGACGGAAAGTAGGGTGGGCGATGTCGTGTACTGAGAAAGTTTCTTTGAGCCTGTCTCCGGGCTATGAGGGCTTGCCCAGGGACCCTGCCATGGCTTCGTGCTGCAAGCGGGGCTATTTATCTAAAAAAAGAAAAGCCAGTGGTAATGCACCTGGATATTTTTGTATTGCCACTGCTGGAGACTTCGTAAGTTTGTGTCCGCCTTTAGTGGCTACTGCAGATATCTATGCCAGTGTACTGCTGTAGATGTTCCTCCGCTTGCCTATACGACCTTTCTCAATCTACTCGCTATTTCAGATGGCCTTACCTATTGCAGTCTCCTATCGAGCTGCTTACCAGGTAAGTTCCCAATCTACAGTATTTTCGCTTCTTACAGTTACCTTTTCCCGCTCATCCAGCGGGAAGCTATATCGGAGGGAAAAGAATGGGCGTATAGACTTCAGGCACGCAACAGCCTGGTTATGGTAATATTATGGCTAGATAAGGAGTAGCGTAGGCAATAACTACTCTGACATATTGGACCTACCTAGTAGTCGCCAGCAATAACGTATTGTAGCACACACAGATACAAGCATTTATATATACTGGATAGCGACCTAGCACCACCATCTGCACTAGGTCTCACGTCGAGTAACTGCTGTTCTGGACATAAAAATAACCACGAAGCTAATAATTCGGAAACGAAGAACGAACATGAAAGTTACAATGGCTCAAAGAACACAAAAAAATAATATGACTAAGACTTGATTATGCACCAACGCATCACTCAATCCAAAAGGAGAAAATTAACATAAGAGATGGAGAGTGCTCAGCAAGCTAAGGGATAAATAGATAGAAAAGATTCTTCAAAATAAATAGTGAACGTAATTGAAGATAAGAAGACAGAAAGTCCCACTACAATAGATTGCAGTATCTCGTGTTCCAGTCTCCACATCAACCCAATTGAACCTGTACAACATTCGGCATTAATTTTGATGTCAAGTTTCGAAGTTTCCTGGTGCGTGCATATTATGAAAACCCTGATAGCGTATCGGTTAACAACAATCTCACACAAACTCATCGTCACAAGCATTCGATGATTACTAGGGAGAGGTTGACGCCCACCTACCGAAACATCAGTTTACCGCATTATGGTCCCGATCGTCTGCGGTCATTCCACCAGCTGCACGGAGCACCTGTGCAACGTCATCATGACCATTTTTTAGTGAAAGGTCAAGAGCAGTTGCTGGAAGCACCCCGAAGGGCTGTATTATCAAACATTCCCTTGGCATTGAAATCTGCCCCCACAGCAAGAAGCAGCTTCACAATCTCAATGTGGCCCTTGCTGGCAGCACCCCAGGCTGCATCGACATTGACATTTGCCCCCGAAGCAAGAAGCAGCTTCACAATCTCAATGTGGCCGTTGCTGGAAGCACCCTGAAGGGCTGTACCACTCCCTCCATTTACATCTGCCCCCGCAGCAAGAAGCAGCTTCACAATCTCAATGTGGCCGTTGCTGGAAGCACCCTGAAAGGCTGCATCGACATTGGAATTTGCCCCCGAAGCAAGAAGCAGCTTTACAATCTCAATGTGGCCGTTGCTGGAAGCACCGCAAAGGGCCACACCACTGCTTCCATTGACATCCGCCCCTCCAGCAAGAAGCAGCTTCACAATCTCAATGTGGCCGTTGCTGGAAGCGCCCCCAAGGGCACCATCTCCTCTATTAATATCTGCCCCTGCTGCAAGAAGTAACTTTACGATGTCAACGTAACCGCGTTGTGCCGCCAGGTGAACAACTGTTTTTCCATCTTTAGTAACTTGGTTGACATCCGCTTTGGCCGTTACAAGTTGCTCTGCAATCTTGATATCAAGTCTTTCTAAGGCCTGGTAAAGCGCTGTCTCGCCGTGTTTGTTAACTCCTTTAGCTACCGCTCCGACGCTTAACAAATGCTCTGCAATCTCGATATGGTTTTGTTCAATAGCTACGTAAAGCGCCGTTTTTCCGTCTGTAGTGACTCTATTGACCTCCGCTCCCGC